TTTTATTATTTTGAGATATGTTCCGTCAATACCTAGTTTATTGAGGGTTTTTAGCATAAAGGGCTGCTGAGTTTTGTCAATGGCCTTCTCTGCATCAATTGAGATAATCATGTGGTTGTTGTCTTTGTTTCTGTGTATGTGGTGAATTACGTTTATAGACTTGCGTATGTTGAACCAGCCTTGCATCCCTGGGATGAATCCTACTTGATCATGTTGGATAAGCCTTTTGATGTGCTGTTGCAATCAGTTTGCCAGTATTTTACTGAAGATTTTTGCATCTATGTTCATCATGGATATTGGCCTGAAGCTTTCTTTCATTGCTGAGACTCTGCCAGATTTTGATATCAGGATGATGTTGGTCTCATAAAATGATTTGGGAAGGATTCCCTCTTTTTGTATTGTTTGGAGTAGTTTCAGAAGGAATGGTACCAGCTCATCTTTGTATGTCTGGTAGAATTAGGCTGTGAACCCATCTGCACCTGGGCTTTTTTTGGGTGGTAGGCTCTTAATTGCTGCCTCAACTTCTTGTCTGTCTGCCTATTCAGGGTTTCAACTTCTTCCTGGTTTAGGCTTGGGAGGATGCAAGTGTCCAGGAATTTATCCATTTCTTCCAGGTTTACTAGTTTATGTGCATAGAGTTGTTTGTAATAATCTCTGGTGATGGTTTGAATTTCTGTGGAATCTGTGGTGATATCCCCTTTATCTTTTTTTATTGCATCTATTTGATTATTCTCTCTTTTCTTTTTTATTAATTTGGCTAGTGGTCTATTTTGTTGATATTTTCAAAAAATCAGCTCCAGGATTTATTGATTTTTTGAAGGGTTTTTTTGTGTGTGTGTCTTTCTCCTTCAGTTCTGCTCTGATCTTAGTTATTTCTTGTCTGCTGCTAGGTTTTGAGTTTTTCTATCTTGCCCCTCTAGCTCTTTCAATTTTGATGATAGGGTGTCAATTTTAAATCCCTCCTTGCTTCTCATGTGGGCATTTATTGCTATATATTTTCCTCTAGATACTGCTTTAAATATGTCCCAGAGATTCTGGTATATTGTGTCTTCATTCTTGTTGGTTTCAAAGAACATCTTTATTTCTGCCTTCATTTCATTGTTTATACAGTCAACATTCAAGAGCCAGTTGTTCAGTTTCCATGAAGCTGTGTGGTTCTGAGTTAGTTTCTGAATTCTGAGATCTAACTTGATTGCATTGTGGTCTGAGGGACTGTTTGTTATGAATTCCATTCTTTTACATTTGCTTAGGAGTGATTTACTTCCAGTTATGTGGTCAATTTTAGAGTAGGTGTGATGTGATGCTGAGAAGAATGTATATTCTGTGGATTTGGGGTGGAAAGTTCTTTAAATGTCTATTAGGTTTGCTTGGTCCAGGACTGAGTTCAAATCCTGGATATCCTTGTTAATTTTCTGTCTCGTTGATCTGTCTAATATTGACAATGGGGTGTTAAAGTCTCCCACTATTACTGTGTGGGAGTCTAAGTCTCTTTGTAAGTCATTAAGAACTTGCCTTATGTATCTGGGTGCTCCTGTATTGGGTGCATACATATTTAGGATTGCTAGTGCTTCTTGTTGCATTGATCCTTTTACCATTATGTCCTTCTTTGTCTCTTTTGATCTTTGTTGGTTTAAAGTCTATTTTATCAGAGATGAGACTGCAACTCCTGCTTTTTTTTGCTCTCCAACTGCTTGGTAAATCTTCCTCCATCCCTTTATTTTAAGGCTTTGTGTATCCTTGCAAGTAAGATGGGTTTCCTGGATACTGCACACCGATAGGTTTTGGATTTTTATCCAATTTGTCAGTCTGTGTCTTTTGATTGGGGCATTTAGCCCATTTGCATTTACAGTTAATATTGTTATGTGTGAGTTTGATCCTGTCATTTTGATGCTGGCTCATTGTTTTGCCCATTAGCTGATGCAGTTTCTTCATTGTGTTGATGTTCTTTACCATTTGGTATGTTTTTGGGGTGGCTGGTACTGGTTGTTCCTTTCTATGTTTAGTGCCTTTTTCAGGAGCTCTTGTAAAGCAGCCCTGGTGGTGATGAAATCTCCAAGTACTGCTTGTTCGCAAAGGATTTTATTTTTCCTTCACTTATGAAGCTTAGTTTGGCTGGATATGAAATTCTAGGTTGAAAGTTCTTTTCTTTAAGGATGTTGAATATTGGTCCCCACTCTCTTCTGGCTTGTAGGGTTTCTGCTGAGAAATCTGCTGTGAGTCTGATGGGCTTCCCTTTGTGGGTAACCCGACCTTTCTCTCTGGCTGCCCTTAGCATTTTCTCCTTCATTTCAACCCCGGTGAATCTGACGATTATGTGCCTTGGGGTTGCTCTTCTTGAGGAATATCTTTGTGGAGTTCTCTGTAATTCCTGGACTTGAATATTGGCCTTCCTTGCTAGGTTGCAGAAGTTTTCCTGGATAATATCCTGAAGAGTATTTTCCAGCTTGGATTCATTCTCTCCGTCATATTCAGGTACACCTATCAAATGTAGATTAGGTCTTTTCACATAGTCCCATATTTCTTGGAGACTTTGGTCATTCCTTTTTACCTTTTTTTCTCTAATCTTGCCTTCTCGTTTTATTTCATTGAGTTTATCTTTGACCTCTGATATCCTTTCTTCTGCTTGGTCAATTCGGCTGTTGAAACTTGTGAATGCTTCGTGAAGTTCTCACATTGTGTTTCTCAGCTCCATCAATTCACTTATATTCTTCTCTAAGTTCTTTATTCTCACTAGCATTTTGTCAAATCTTTTTTCAAGGTTCTTTCTTTGCATTGGGTTAGAACATGTTCTTTTAGCTCACAGAAGTTTCTTATTCACCCACCTTCTGAAGCCTGATTCTGTCAATTCCACACACTCGTTCTCCATCCAGCCTTGTTTCCTTGCTGGTGAGGAATTTTGATCCCTTGTAGGAGGACAGGCATTCTGGCTTTGGGTGTTTTCATCCTTTTTGTGTTGGTTTCTTCCCATCTTTGTGGATTTATCCACCTGTCATCTTTGTAGTTGTTGACTTTCAGGTTGGGTCTCTGAGTGGACATCCCATTTGTTGATGATGAAGTTATTTCTTTCTGTTTCTTAGTTTTCCTTCTAACAGTCTGGCCCCTCTGCTGTAGGACTGCTGAGGTCCACTCCAGGCCCTGCTTGCCTGGGGATCACCTGCAGTGGCTGCGGAACAGTAACGGTTGCTGCCAGTTTCTTCTTCTGCTATCTTTGTCCCAGAAGGATACCCACCAGATGTCAGTCTCAGCTCTCCTTTATTAGGTGACTCTTTGGATATATGGAGGTCAGGGAGCTGCTTGAGGAGACAGTCTGTCCTTTATAGGAGCTCAAGTGCTGAGCTGTGAGCTCTGTTGTTCATTCAGAGCTGCCGGGCAGGTACATTTAAGTCTGCTGCAGCAGAACCCATAACCCCCCTGCCTTTTTTTTTCCCCAGGTACTCTGTCCCGGGGAGTTAGGGCTCTATTTATGAGTTTCTTCGTGCTGCTGGCTTTTTTAGGGCTTCCCTGCCCAGCAAGGAGGCAGCCTAGTCACTGTCTGCCTGCAAATGCTTCGCTAAGCTGCTGTGGGCTCCGCCCATCTGCTGTGTGAACTTCCCTGCAGTCTTGTTTATACAGGTGTAGTTAGGACTGCCTTGGCAGTGGTGGCTCACCTCTATAATGGCACAGTCTGTGATGGCGGGCTGCCTCAGCAATGGCAAACTACCTCTGTAGTGGTGGACTGCCTCAGTAATAGTGGATGCCTCTCCCCCACAGAGCTGGACCATCCTGGGTTCAACTGTGCTTGCTGTGAAACTCTCAATCCAGAGCATTTCCAATTGCTGTTTCTTTGTGGGATTGTGACTAGCCGAGCCTGATCACCTGGCTCCCTGCCTCAGAGCCCCCCCTTTTTTTTTTCTTTTTTTAGTTGAACAGTCAATTCTGTTTCCCAGGTGTTCCAGTCGCCTGTTAAAAAGGTGCCGGGATCTGTGTGATTTCCCGTGCGGCAACCCACTGCGCTGGCTGAAACAGCCGCGCTGAGATTCATGGCACTTTTTTGTCCAGGAATCTCCTGGCCTGGCTCCCTGTTTCAGTCCCCTTTTTAATCAGATGAATGGGTGACTCTGTCTCCCAGGAGCTCCAATCACCAGCTAAAATAGCACCCGGACTCATGCATTTTGTACGGAGAACTGCCGCGCCAGGGTGCCGGCAAAACAGTTGCACTGGCCAAAACAGCCGCAGGGGCCAAACCAGCCACGCTGGCGACTCATGGGGCTCCTCTGCCTGGGAATCTCCTGGTCTGTGGGCAATAAACATCCGTCTGGAAATGCGGCGTCTGCTCACCCTCCGCGCTTTCACTGGGAGCTGCAATCCTGATCTGCTTCTAATCAGCCATCTTGGATCCCTCTCCAAATTGGTACATCTTAATTTAAGTATCTCTTAAGTATCATCTTAAGTATATCTTAAGAAATACTATTACTCAAACTGCTTAAGAAATACTATTTCTCAAACTTTAATGTCTGTCCACTGTTACCTCCCATATCAGCACTTATATATTTTCTGGTACTGCATAGCAGTTACACAAATTTCACAGTATTTTATTTCACATAAGCAATATATAGCTGGGATCAATGGTAACTATGTCAAAATATCTACTTTCTTTAATGCTGAAAGACTCTATTCTATCTTTACATGCCATCTACTACATCTGTGTTTTGCAAACTTACCTGATCATAAGCTTCATCTAAGTGCTTACTAAATACCAAGTCCCATGTCCCATTCCCTGTAAATTCTTAATTTGTAGGTCAGAATGAAGCTAGGGAATTGGCATCTTTTTTTTTTTTTTTTGAACAAGGAAACTCTCTTCATTTATTTCATATAAGGATGGAGAGGATTATGTGATCACAGGAATGTTTCATGCAGGATTATCCGAAGCTGGTATCACCAGGCCCTCACTCTGCCAAGAGGTCTCTCTGGAAGGGGCAGCCAGCTCAGAGATGCCTTGGATCCCCACATGCCAATCATAAAAATATATGGAATGCTTCATGAATTTGCATGTCATGCTTGAGCAGGGGCCATGCTAATCTTCTCTGTATCATTCCAGCAATTGGTATTTTTAACAAGTATCCTCATGATACTGATCACTCATCACCACACAAGAGTTAGCAAGTACTAACCAAAGCACAATTTTAAAAGACAACTCAACATAGCTGATTTGAACTTCTTTTTTTTTTTTTAAACTAGAATGCATTTTTTAAAATTGTACTTTAGGTTCTGAGGTACATGTGCAGATCATGCAGCATTGTTTCATAGGTACGCACATGGCAATGTGGTTTGCTGCCTCCATCTCCCCGTCACTTACATCTGGCATTTCTCGCGATGTTATCCCTCCCTGACCTCCCTGCCCCACTGTCCTTCCCTTGGCCCCCTCCAACAGACCCCATTGTGTGATGCTTCCCTCCCTGTGCCCATGTGTTCTCATTGTTCAACACCCACCTATGAGTGAGAACATGCGGTGTTTCATTTTCTGTTCTTGTATCAGTGTGCTGAGAATGATGGTTTCCAGATTCATCCATGTCCCTACAAAGGACATGAACCCATCATTTTTTATGGCTGCATAATATTCCATGGTGTATGTGCTGCAGGCCTGAAGACAATAATTCATTGCTGATATCAGCTTTATCTTAGTTTGTCACCAAAATGAATGGAAGTTTAGGAAATATGCACAAAGAACTCTGTACTAATTTAGGACCACAGGAAACTGTAGCACAGCTTTCCACTTTCTCAACTCTGATCTTTCTTCCCTCCATCCCTCTCGTCCTTCCATCCTTTCCTCCTTCTTTCAACACTTACCTGAGTTCTTCTCTCACTTCTATAGCAGTATTTCCTGCTATCACAAATACATCATTCATGTCATCAGTCAGCATGTTGCAGGCATAACCGATGTTGATGGCAGTTTCTAATACAAAATAAAAAGCCCAACTCAGTTAAAATGTTATTTAATAAATCCATATTAAATGAAAGTTTTGAAGACTTAGCTATATTTTCTTATACCCTACAGGCCCCCTTAATGTCAGAGTACAACCAGCACAGATGGAAATTCAAATACCTGGGTTCTAGGATCACATTTACTACTTGCTAAACCCATGCAGTAGTAGTAATACATATAATTGTGCAGCCTTCTCATCTAGTTTTCAGAAAACCTTTTCATTCCCAAATTAGCACTCATGAAAACACCTTAAGATCTTGTGACATAATGACATGTACAAATATAAAATCTTTGACCAGAAGTCCAAACACTGTCTTGGGAAAGCTAAAGTACTAAACTTACCCAATATTTAATTCTGATATAGAGGACAATTTGAAGAAAAATTCACAAAATGTTCAGGTAAAGGACAACAAAAATGCTCTTACAAAATGTGTATGGTTCTCTCACATACAACATTGCCATTTTCCCATTAAATATGTGAAAATGTGAAATTTGACTATTATCTCAACCCTTCCCAGCACTGTTCTCCTACAGAACTGGAAAATCAGAGGATGTTAGATAATTCTTCCTCTAGTTTTATCAAAATGGAACTTGAGATAATCCGATAACTCCTTCTATCTTTAATGGAGTTATTTGATTGTCTGTAACTGTATAGAATAATTAGACTCTAGCTAATTCTATGGAATCATTAGTTTTGTCCTAAATCAAGGAAGGTAATTAATAAAATCTCAGCATATACCTTGTATAAACCACAGAAGTTAAAGCTAAATAACAGTAAACTCATGGATATTTGTAATAATAAAACAGCTATAATTGACCAACATCAAACTCTAGAGTTTCTATTTAGTAATACACCTGAGTGCTGAACTTTCTGTTGTTTATTTTTTGTGATCAATGATGTGGATAAAGATGTAGAGAACTGATTTATCACATCTGCAAATCCCCTAATGCTGTAAAACATACGTAATGAGTAGACAGAATCTTAACATAGGTATGTGCCAGTTAATTGAATATTTTCAGCCTATAAATAGCCAAGCATAAAATCATTTTTGTTTTAACCATTACTGCTAGAAGTAGTTCCAAAATGTGTTGGTCCCCTTTTCTTTCATAGCAAACACAGTAGAATATGATGACCCACTAATGATTTGGCATTTTGCCAAGTCTGAAAGTTGATGAATTCTCACTGTATCTTGTATAGACAGTCCTGGAATTCAGCCAGGTTGCACTGTTACAGCTGTAGTAGTTATTAAAAGACCAAAATATTTGCATAAGCAGTTGATAAACACCTGTTTTGGTGAGCTTCTTCAAAGTGTTTCCATCACCCTGACACCTCCCCTAAGGAACCTTCAAATTCCCTGCCATCAAGAAACTAAAGAAGTAACCAAAGGTCTCCAATATCCTGCTTTAGTTCTGTGACACTATCTGTCCTGACTGGGGACAGTGTTCATAAAAACCAATTGTTAAACATTTTTAATACCATTGTTGCTTCTAGGTGTAATTATTCAATAATTACGGGATTTTGTTTGGTTTGTTTTAAAATAGATTGTTGCAATACATTAACTTTCTTTTCTCTATTTCAAGTCTTTCCGACGTGGACTAATATTTAATTAATTAAGCTTTCTGGTTAATTAAAATTTTGTGATATAAGTCTTCTCCCCCTTTTCAAAACATCATCATCATCATCCATTTTAAAGTTACCTTGTTTGTCTCCTGTTAGGACCCAGATCTTAATATTGGCTAGTGATAAACTTGTAACCGTTTCAATAACACCCTCTTGTAACTTATCTTCTACAGCAGTGGCACCTAGTAGCTTTATGGAAAAACAGAGAAAACCTTAAGTTAAATGTGTGCAAACATCTATAACATCTATACATTTCACTCAGAGTTTGGAGGCCAAAGAATGTAAACTGAAGACAGAAATTATGATACATTGATAGAGCAGGCGTCCTATTTTGTGCATAAGTAGATTGGAAAGGAATCCAAAAGGAAGTTCCCTAATCAAGTCAATTTAACCACGGTGATACTGGGAGCTATTATTTACCTGAAGGGGCTGATATGATCAGATTACATGTTAGCATGAGCAGTAAGAAGCCATTTGGACTTAAGAACTCCCTAGCTGCTTCCCCACGTACATCAACAGTGGAGGAGTCCAAAGAATAGCCTTCATCCCATGATCAGGAAGTGATCACAAAAAATCTAGTCATTCTTCTACATTAACAAATCATCACATGCCATAATCTAAAGTGAAGGTTCCTACATGATTTTTCATTAAAAGATGAACAAAGGATACTCCCTAGTACCTCACAATGGCTGAGCTCCTGGCCACTGGGGCCTCACGTAAGAGTGGTTTTTAGAATAGACCATGCTCTGGATAGCACAGATATCATCAGAATTTCACGGCCTAGAATAGTTTAGAGCTGTAGCCCCATTCTTCACAACAAATTTCTCTGCTCTAAAAAGGTGGGTCATAAAGCAAGGAGAAAAATAAAAATCCACCACATCAAGAACACATCAGAGGTTGACAAAGGATATGGAGCCTACTATCTTCTACTCTTCAGAAGCTTCCAATTGCATAAGCTACTGGTGATAGAAATACAATTCTAGGCTCTCTAGTACCATACGTGGAAAACTCAAAGCCAACATATAATGCATGAGTCAGTGTTTGAAACAGAAACATCTGCTGTGTGCAAGATGTTCTAGCTAATGGCTTATTCCTATGCTAAATCTCTAAACACATACTCCCCTTCCTGTAAACACAAACCATCATGCTTCTAAATTCATACCATCAAATCTCTTTCAATTTCTTCATACAGCCCATCTATTCGTTTATCCCTCTCTTCTGTGGCAACATTTGCATCTTCAAGCATCTTATGCCACTCTTTAAAGTACTTGTCATCCAGGTCTCTGTATGCGATGGCCAAGGTCCGAAGGCCTTCCCCTGCAAATTCCTGCCAGAGAAGACATAGACTCAGGAACAGTCAAAAAAACAATAAACACAGAAATAACAACAAAATAATTTTTAAGAAATTTTTCACTCAAATTTATTTTGTCCTAAGAGCACTCCTTGGCTATCCTTACTCTCAACTTTTTAATCTCCTCAGAAATGGAAGACAATGTATTTTCCATTATATTTCTATGAGGTTAAAACATGCTAGAAAGCTAGCCTTCCCCCTAAAGACAGCTGGAAAAGCCTGCTGAAGTGTCCTAGTTCAGCGGTGATCAATGACACCCATGACTTGAGATATTCATTTATGGCAACATATGTTTCCAACCTGTCCTTGACAGAAGGAAGCATTTCTGGCCATGAGAGGGACCGAGTGAGGAGGGTCCCTCATTCAGTGATGAGGAAAGGACCCTTGGAGAAGCCACAGTTCTCAAATCAAAGGCAGGAGGCTCTCCCCAGGAAATGCAGCATGACATGCCACCAAAGTCTTATCACATCCCCCCTAGTGATATGCCTATGCCTAAATTAATTGAGTACTACTTTTGTATATGCTTGAAATTTTCCAAAAAGCTAAAAATAAATAATAAATGAATAAATAGATGTCGAAGAGTCAGATATTAGTAGTTTAACCATATTACTTAAGGTTATAATATTAACTTCTAGGGCAAAAGGGAAGAGAAAGGAAGAAAAGCTAATATAAGTGGTAGCTTCTGGAAAACAGAACTAAATGTGGAGGCTGAACTTCACTTTTCATTCTAAACTCCTCTGAGAAACTTTTTAATGTTTGCTGTATTAAAGTTTTCTCTTAATAATAACAAATTGTTTGGAATTTTAAAGACATCATCAAGTCATCTTAGTGTTAAAAAAGTGTTATTTTTAGAAGCTATAGTCTGTGAAGCTAGTACCAAATTAGTCAAACTGGAGAACCATACTCCTCCTTTATTCTGTATCTTGACAATCTCAAACAACACTTTTGGTGCTTTCTCCTAACAGGAGGGAAAAGAAAAACAGGAGACTGGTAAGTTGCTAAGTGTCTCACACAGCCATAGTAACTAGAAACATATGTACATTGCTTTGGGGGAAATGCTTAAAAACTCCCACTCCGCCTGTGCTTCCAGTGGTCATTTTATGGGCCTCTACACTGCAAGTAAAGCGTTTTTATAGCCATTTCTGCCCCTTTGGGCATTGCTATTGAGCATGTCTCCTCTGTGCTGTTTTGGCTTATGGTACACACATAGGTTTATAATCAGGCATGTAACAGTGGCATGCTGTAATTAGGTAAATAGAAAAAAAAGTCAATGCATACTGCAATGAGATGGTTTATCCCATACAGATTCTTGAGAAAAATTATCTAAATGTATTTAGTAAGCAGTTGGTAGCACTTTGGATACTGCAATCACATTTTTAAGCTCTGTCTTTCAAGACCACCACGGGATCCCCTACTGATTTGGAAATTTAGTTACTGTCTTATAACGATCTTTTGTACTCCTAATTCACACAAACACTTTTTTGCCTTTAACTTGCAACCCCACTGGGCATTACCAGTGCCTTCCTCTCTGATCTGCACAACAGTGAATGAACAATGGCATTACAAAAGGAAACAGATGATTTAAGTTATTTCATTAGTGCATGAAACACAAGTTTGATCCTAAATGAGCATTTGATTAAGGTCTCTTCCTATCATTAAACAATTCAAAATCAGTAATTAAATAAACATTTAAGACCTCAGAATCTAGAAGCCAAAATGAATAAAGTGAATAAGCAAAGAGCAAGTTAAATTTATACTATCTGAAAAAAAATTATTTTGCAGAAAAATTTAAAAAGACCAAATTAGGCTTCTTATAGTTTAGTATGAAAGGAGAATATATGAAAACCCAGGACCTCAGTGTTTGAGTAATGGCAAAAAATCAGATACTTATGATTCCAGTGTTGTTTTCATTAAAAAAAAATTTAAAAGACCATGCTGCCCTTCTGGAAAAGATTAAAAGAAAATCAAGAATTCTCTAATGGAAAGACAAAAACAATAGCTATGTTTGAAACCACTATTACTAAACCATCATTTTTTAAATTTAAAGTGAGGCAGAAGATTTTTATTTGTTTATTTGTTTTTTAAAGATTCAAGGAATGTTTTGTATTAAATATAGGGACTGACAAAGAACATGAATACTTAATAATGCTTTAAGGAAAGAAACTAATGAGAAAATGAGAGTTTTGACCAGATGTCCTTAATGGAACCACGAACAAATATTAGAGACACACTTGAATCTCAGGTTTAAACCAAGTAATGCTCATATGAATTCACAGCCCCCTTACTTTTTGGCATTAAAAAAAAAAAAAGTGTGACAAAAATGACCCTTACTTCTTTCAGAAAACTTTTGTAAAGAAATTATGCTGGTCTCAGAATGTACAAGTTTGGTGTCTGAAGGCACACAAGGAACTCATCATGATTTATGATTTGAATAAAAAGACCCTTAGCGGAGAAAGTGGGCGCCAGAGACTGCTACTCTCTAATCTCAACACAATCTAAACACAACCCTGAACTTTCCCTGGGGGTAATCATAAGATATTCCACTAATACCAAACACATCAGAACCCAAGGAAAAGCAGCTTTCTGTCTCCTCTTTCCAGAACTAGTTGACCAAGAGGAGCAACATGAAGCTGCAGGGGAGTTGGAGCAGGTTCACCAGACGCCCACATTCTGTGGCTACTGCTCAGTTGCTGTGTGTTCCCCTACCTGCAGCAGACTGACTGGACTCCCAACAGGAAGGAAAGGGGAGGTCCTTATGTCAATTTCCAGACAATCATTGGCACAACTTCCTGTGGAACCACGCTCCAGATGCTTTCTATTTCGGTAGTCAAATCATTTAGCTGCTATTTTTTTAAAGAAGACCTAACCATAAGAAATGGCAAAAGGGCCCTTATGTTAACCATAAGACGGAGGCACTTACACTGAGGTGGTCTGACGTCAAAGACAGAAGGTCTTCATTGGAAGGATGAAGTTTTTCAAACAGAATAGTATCTGCTCCTTTGGAATAAAGCTTTATCTGCCCTTCTGGGTTTCGAACTGAAAAGAAAAAAGTTCCAAAAAGCAGATTATAATCAATGACATACATCAAAATTAGACTCTTCCAGAGTTCCAGCCTGGCAATTTGGAAATGAGCATAATGTTTTAGCCAGTACTAAGACACTCAGTGCCTTTGGTAAGGTCATCATCTAAGTTACTTGGTTTTATTCTCATTTATTAACTTAAAAATGCTCCATCTGTTGGAATCTTTGATTTCCCAAATTCAGAAACAAGTATTTTTATTCTGAAGCATATGACCTTCCTGTTTTCCTTGACTACTCTTTCTGAAGAGTTGATATATCTAAATTAAGTCTTCATCTCCATATTGAGCAGAATTGAGAGCTTTATTTGCCTGTCTCCTGGTGTGAAATTCAAGACCTGCTGTTCAAATCAGTATCAGTGTTATGCCAAATCATCTCCATATGGAATTCTAGCCATTCAAAGTCATGGTTTATGCATTTTTTCTTGGCCCTTGCTGACATATTTCTTCACCCCTTTTACTCTGGAAAAGCCTGTTCATTCTTCGTGGTTCGTTCTTGGGTCGCAACGCTGGCTGAAAACACACTTCACAAAGGAGCTTTTAAAAATAAAGTTTCCACCTCATTTCTACTGTATGTCAGAGGCACTGTGTTTTTAACCTGGCCCACAGGTTTAAGATTGATAGCCCTTTCTAGGCTACTCTCAACTCCATTCCCAACCACAACCCCCAGCATACTGCTGTTAGACAAAGCTTTCTTTCAAACCACAGAACACTTGGCCTAACTTTGTAGCTTTAATTTTACAGCTTGACACATAGTAGGCAGTTAATAGTTATCTGTTGAATGAATGAATGACATGGCTGTGTATTTCTTCCCAGAACTACCCACAACTTAAGACAATTGTCTTAGTCACAACTTCATGATCTGAATATTCTCACCCTCATAGGCTTAGTCAGTTGAATCAAAGATCATTCATTACATGCTTTCCACTCAATTATACCTTTTCTCTACAAACAGAATACCTCAAAAAAGGTTAACATAAATGTTCACTATTAATTACTATTAATGTAATGCCATAAAAAATGGCATACAGAATTTAGATTTTAGTTTAAAAAAATATAAAAACCAAAATACAATGTCACCCTCCCCTCTACCCGTAGTAAACACTTATTTATTCTAGTTTCCCCCTGGCTTGCATAGATCTAATAATACAGCCTGAAAGCTTTTTAGAACTAGGCCTTGTCTAGGTCTTGTCTTCTATTTGAAGACCCTTGGTTAGCTTTCCTAAGTGCCAGAACTCATGCAGCTTTTCTTATAGTCTAGCTCTAACCACCCACATTGGGGAAAAAAGAGAGAAAAAAACATATGCAATTTATCTAATTGTTAAACCAAGGGGGAAAACTTAATCCTAAGAAAGCCTTTTCTTGATTTTCTTGTACAATAATCCGATTTACATTTTCTCCCATCCATCACCAGAGGTATAAAGGCAAAGGATGAATATCTTACATTTGCTTGTATTTTGTATTCTAGACTGGGACATTAGTTCTCAAACTTTTGGCCTGAGGACCCTCTTTATAATTCTTCAATGCTGAGTGATAATTCTAAAAGGTTTTTTTTACATGAATTTTATCTATCCATATTTACCACATTAGAAATGAAAAATAACAAATTTTTGTGTCAATAATTTTATAACACTAATTACTTTAATAATTATAAATGTAACATAAATATAAATAACATTTCTATTTAAAAAACTGTATTTTTCAGAAAAAAATTAGTTTGAAGACTGGCATTATTTTACATGATTATAGATCTTTTAAACATCTGGTTTAATAAAAGAGAGCTGGATTCTCAAATCTGTTTCTGCATTCATTCTGTTGTGACATCACATGTCATGTGACTTCTGCAAAACTCCATGCTATACTTATGAGAAAAAATAATAGTGCTATTACAATGAAAATACTTTTTCCTCGTGCATCCTACAAAAAACTCACAAGATTCCCTATGGCTACCCAGACCACACATTTAGAATCACTAGTCTGGAAGAGCCACAAACTGACTTTGATTTGTGTAAATCCCTTACCATCTCTATATCTCAGTTTCTACATGTAAAAAGATGTTTAAACAAACTAACTTCAAAGGTCCTTTACAGCTGTACAATTTTCTGATTCAATAAATACTTTCCACCCCTGATACTTTCTGTTAACCTAGTATTTGTCCCTTCAAGTTTGAATTTATGTAAATCCAATTTCATAGAATCCTGCTTTACTCAATAAACATCTGCTTTAGCAGCTCAGCAAGTTTTATATCTCTTTTCTTCCAAGGCTTCTGGTCATTTCTGTTCAAAGTTAATTAATTCTAAGTCATTTCAGAAGTTAGTATTTATATTACATAAACTAAAAATGACAAAGTTTTAAATGGTCAAGATAACGTATGTCCAGAGCCTGGACAAAGGTCATAGTTTTTAGGTTACAAAAATCTTCACCCATTGCTTCCCATTTAAATATTAGTGTTCTTCAGAGATTTACTTGGGGTCATTTTTATCTTCCCATCCTTCATACTCTCCCTCAGCAACCGCATTCATGTTCCATCAACAGGCTGTTTTCAAATGTCTATCTCGTATCCAATCCATCTCCAGCACTCCATTCTGACCCACACATCTGACTACCAACTGAACACCTCTTGGATATGCCCAGGCACAGCAAACTCATACTGGACATATTACCCACAACTCCAATAATTAGCTACTCCTCTCATATCCCCAGTCTCAGAAATCAGCTTCACCATCCACTTAGTCTTCCAAACCAGAAATCTGGGCATCCCTCACAGTTCTCCCTCCATCAACCATACATCTAAGGGAAGCCAAAGATTTATCTCTGTCACTTCTCTCTTGCCTAGAAAATCACCTTAACCTAACTGGTTTTACCCATTATAGTACTGCTTCCTTCCAGACTCTTCCATATATTCCAGCTGCAGTCATCTTCATGCTGCTGCTTAGAATCCTGCAATAGCCTCCCTCTCACTTCTATGAAGTTTGGACTCCTTGACATGGCATATAGAGCCTATTAAGAGCTGCCCTCTCCAGTCCATTTCACCATTTCTGTTGGAAACAGTCACATAGAACTACCTTTCAATTTTTCACATTCTCTCTTAGCTTGAAGGCCTTGAAATATAATGGGCACATAAATAAATATTTGCTTAATTAAGATGAACCAAAATTGTACACGATTAATTGGAAACATAAGCTATGCCTCTGTGACATAAAGGAAAGAAAAATATCACAAATGGCTTCCAGTTAGATGCAATATCAGCACTGTGAAGGATGGTAAATAATTCCATTTTGCCATATTGCTGCTGCTCGTACATCTACACAGAGAAATGCCTGTCACATGATGGTGTGATTTGTACTTTGATTATCTTGAAAAAGTTTAGAACTCAGCAACTTTTATCTAAAGATCTTGTAAGAGCCTTCCAAGAAACTTCTTGTAATTTATTCTTCTTTAATGGTTATCTGCCACTTGCCCTTGTTAATAGCTATCTTTGAATTTTATCTCTGCATTTCTATTTACCGAATTAGAAAACTGGTCTTTCCAAAAGTATATAATGACATTTATATTTTTTACTAATATAGTAGATTCTGTTCCCTCTGAAAAAAATCCTTTATAGAAATCAATTTTTATGTAGATATTTCTGACTTAAATCAGGGCTCCTTCTTCAGAATAAAAGTACTACTGGTATTGAAATTATACATTGATGATTTAGTGAATAGTGGCTCCCACCCAAAAAAAAAGGAAGCAGAAGGAGAAGAAAAAGAAAGAACAGCAGCAAATGCCTGAGTCTTTGCATCAGGGTGTTGTTCCTGCAGACCAAACCATGTGACAATCATGAGACTAGATTGTTTTTTGCCTTGTTATCATGCAGAGACATTTCTGCCCTGGTAGAGTCCCTCTAAAATTCCTCCCAATTAAAAACCAAACAGAATAAAAATAAATCCAGCAAACCTTCATGCATTCTGTGGTAAAGCACTACCTTTCCTCATATGGGATCCATTAAGGCAAACATCTGATGTTTGTGGTTAGGCTGCGATTTCTCCACAGCCTGTAATGGTGACCAGTGCTGAGGAAAAGCCACACATCTCCCTGTGTAGCAATTTTAGGTTTTTGTCAACACCCTCAGAGCAAAAAGAAACCAACTCTGGGCCAAACCAACATCAATAACACCTCCCCTGAGGCTGCAAATAGAAGATCTCTCCTGCTGATACAACATTAAACCAACACCTAGAACAGCATGTGCGCTCATCAGCAGCACTGGTGATGACGTCCCTGTTGTCAAAAAAATAAAAATAAACATTCTCAGAAGTTATTTGGTTTTTACCTCCTGAGAGCCATGTTTCAAGGCTAGTTTCTAGTAGTTAGAAACCAAAAACCCTACTGTTACGTAAATACATGTTTTACATAGTAAGAAATTGATTAAATACAATGAGTAGAATATTCCTAAGTTACAAAGTGTTGTGTTGAGTAATATTTCACAAACATTTATAGAAAACCTATTATGTGCCAAGCTCTGCGTTTGGCCTTGGGCAGTTTAGGAAGACTAACGTATAGCACGTGCCCTCAGCAGCATACAGTTTAATAACTGGGATAGTCAAGAGTGTCATGGAACTAATATCACACCAGTGTTATGAACAAGGCATTCTGGGGAACACAGAAGAATGTGGTTATTTGGAGAATAAAAAAGAATCGAAAAATGGATAACATTTGAATTGGACATTACCAGATGAGTAGTAGGGGGCATTTCCAAGAAGAGAAGTGGGGGGAAAACTATTCAAGATAGGGGAACAGCATGCGCAAAGGGTGTAAAAGCACACAATGCATCCAGGGATGGAGAGGTCTAGTTGAGCTCAAAGTTTTGGAAAGTAGAAGAAAAGTAGATTGAGGTTATATTGCAAATAATTTTGCATGTCATACTAAGGACTTTTTCTGTTAAGGTTTGGGAAGCCACCAATCATTTTTAAGTAGGGGGCAGAAAAATCAGTCCCCTGTTTTAGAAAGAATATCCTGGTGACAGCATAGAGGATTATTTTCAAAGGGAATAATTTGAAGATATTACAATGATACAAGCAAGCAGTAACAAGAACCTTAACTAAGGCAGGGTACTGGGAATCAGGAAAAACCCTTTTTATGATTAAAAAGGGTTCATGAGGCTATTTTAATAAGTATCATTCTGATGGCTCTCAGAAGAGACTTAAAAACAGCATGACAACAGAGGATTCTAAAGATGTTAAGGTCTGAGAGTGGAAGAGAAGGAAATGGGTTAGAGACGTGTCTCAAACATTTCTGGGGAAAATAATGGTTAGTATTTGATGGTCTATTAGTCTAGAGAAGTGGTCCCCAAACTGTGGTTCCCTGACATCAGTGACTTCAGCATCACCTACAAGCTTGTTGGAAATGCAAATTGGTGGGCCTCACCTCAGACCAGCTAAATCAGAAATTAGATGCTGGAGCCTGGCAATCGCTGTTGTAACAAGTCCTCCTTGTGATGTTGATGGGAGCTAAAGTTTGAGAACTATTAGCCCAGGGGCACAAAAGCTATGGAAAAGAGTGAGTGATCTACAATAGGGCTTAAAAGACCAGACTTTGGAAAAAGATAAACCTGGGTTCACTATTTGATCTGCCTCTTACCAGCTGTGTGACGAGTTGCATTACAGCTGTGTGACAATATTTGGCAAGTTACTTAAAATCTTTGAGTTTAATTTTCTCTTGTCTTAAATGGGACATGCATGTTACATGCAGTTGCAACAATTCAGTGAAAGAATTCATTATAAAGTTCATGGACAGGCATACAATGAAAGGTAACTGTGAATTTTAATACAGATTATAGAAAGAACAATAGTTATGGGAAAGAAACTTCCATATTTGACATAAAACTAGATAACTATAGCACAATCCAATGACAGAACATAACAGAAGGCTGAAAATGTGTTTGGACTCTAGCAAGAGACTGAAGCTAAAGAGCTGTATAAGAAGGTCACAGAAAACAGCCAATAGCTACCACCACATATGTGGTCAAGATCATCCAAGAAGAACACAGGAACTCAGAAGAGAAAAGGACACCAATATTGAAGAATGGGATGAAGGAGAGTAGTCAGCAAAGAAGCTTGAGAAAGAAAACAATGGGACAAGAAGAGAATCAAGGGCCAGAAAGTTTACAGAGGCCAAAACAGGAGTGTCAAGAAAACAGGGTCAACAGTCTCAAATGTTACTAAGTTTAAAAAAAATGGATAGATGAACAAATTAATAAGGAAAAGACACTGGACTGGGAAATTAAAAGGTGAATGGAAACCTCTGAGAAAGCAATCCTTCTTGAGTAGTGAAAGCAGAAACTTAACCCTAATGGGCTGAAAAGAGTAAGAAAGGCAAGAAGCAAAAGCTGACCGGAGAAATCAATCTGTGATGAAAAGCAGAAAAATATGGTGGCAATATCAGTGGACACCAAAATATGAACAATATCTTTAAGGAAACAGAAGGATGATAGAATTGTGCGCTGAAGGAAGGAGCCAGTAAAGGAAAAATTGAAGGCACAAGCAAGAAGGGAGCAAGCAAGGAGAGATAAGGAGTGGGACTGGAAAAACCTTCAGCTTTGAAAAGGAACAAGAGCAATTGCTTTCTGATGCAGGAGAGTAAATTATTGAAGATACAGCTTAGGGATGAAGGTGGGGATGGGGAAAAGAGATAGTGGTGTGCATTCCTGAGGGCCTTTATTTTCTTAGAGAAATAGGAGATGAATTTAGCTTTAGAGAGTAAAGAAGATGGTGGCAGTGTTGAAATGGCCAAGATTTAAAATATATATTGTGAAAATGGAAAAAGACACTAAATATGAATGAGAGGGATATTGACACAGCACTGAACATTGAGTCAGGAAAGCACAGATTTGTTTTGGTGCTAAATACAATATTAGGTGCTCCTCTCCAGCAGTGGAGGTGGGTAGAGGAAATCAATGAGGCCAATGATGATATTCACAACAACTATCATCTGCCAAGCAATTCAGAAACTCACCCTGAGCCAGTATTGTGTAGTGATTAAGTGAATGGGCTATGTAGTCAGTCAAACTTCCCAGGTTTGAATCCCGGCTATTCTACTTCAAACTATGTGATCTTGGACAAGATACTAAACCTTTGTGTGTCTTAGTTCCATTATCTGCTAATGGGTATAAATATAATAGTTCCTACCTTATTAGGATTGTTGGGACAATTAAAAAATTTAATTCATCAGAGCATTTTTGACATTTTTAAATTTATTTTTCGTATTTTTATTGATATATTGGGCATACTTATATAGAGCATTTAGAACAGTGCTGGGCACATAATGAGCACTTGCTAAGTGTTAGTTATCTATCACTACAGTATTGAGGGTAGGTTGAGCAACACAACAGTTCATACATAATGTTTCAAAACTATCACAACCCTTAGCATGTAGCCAAAAGTGAAATAATCCTTGAAAAGCATAACCACAACACTATGAAAAGATCAAAAATAGTCTCAGCTACCAATCATACCTATGACAGACATTCTTTTTCTGGTATTGTTGAAATCCAGAATGGCAAGTAGTTGATAAGTAACTGGTGTTCCCAGTTCTTCTATTGTTATGGTCTCTGGGGTCCGGGATTTAAAAATGAACCCAAAATTTCTAGCAGCAGTCACTAGAGCCCCTTCATCAGGTGATTGAACTTGGTAAATTAGCTCTCCTAAAAGGAAAAGAAACAAGTTTATCAATACTGACAATAATAGTTAACCCACAGAGTTCCAATGCCAACTCCAACTCATTATTTAACACCCAATTCAAGCATCAGGTTTAAAAATCTTTCCTGTCCTCAGACCTTTTCTACTCACCAACAGTTAAATCACGTATCTGTCCTTTGGGACACCACAGGACCCTATATAAATGACTACTATAGCCCTTCATCTTATAGGAAAATATCCATTTCCAAGTCTGCCTCTTCACTGTGTTCAGTTTCTTAGATTAGAGATCAAACTTTCATATTTTCAGTAACTAGAGATGTGCCATGAATGTTTCATAAACTAAAACATTTTAATATATATTAACTCACATAATCCTCAGGGCAGCCTTTGAGGTAGAGATTATTAAAATTATTATTTCCATTTTTTATTGGTGGAACCTATAACTGAAAAAGGTTACAAGAGTTTGATGAGATCACACAGCTAAAGAGTGATGGAGAGATAATCCAAATTCTATTTCAGTCTGCTGCTAATGACCATTTTATGAGGATGCGTACAAGAAATCCCTTGAAATGTAAGAAATCAAACCAGGATGTCAATACTTGTTACCTGATATTATGTGTATGTTGGAAGGGGGGTAAGAAGGGAGAGGAGATAAAAAGAATAAGTTATATGTATATATACACATAGAGAGAGTTTAAAAAACAGCATATATAAAGTAAGCCCTTATATAAAATTAAATCAAATTTATATGTAAAAATTAATTAGAAAAATTAATTAGTTCAATGTTTAAAAACTATTAATTAGGCAGAGCTAGACTCATATTTCCTAATTTATAGTGATGTCCAGGATCAATTGTTAAGTAAACAAGTTGCATATTAATGGCTACACTATGATTTCTTTTTGTTAAAAAGAAACAACCTAAATATCTGCATATATTCTTGAATATATGTATACATTTATGAGCCAGAGGAAAGGGTGAAATGATACACACCAGATGTTACCACTGGTTACCGCTATAGGGGTGAGACTGGAGTTCAGGGAAGCTACCATTAGATTCACCTTTATAAATTTTTGTATTATATTGTTTCACTTGATACAATTGGCATAAATGAATTTTTGAAATTCAAAAAAGGTAAAAAACTTAAAGCAATTACTTGATCTACCCTGAAATAATATAGTAAGTTCTACATCTGGTAACATGGTAGACTGGGTGTCAGGACCAATATCAGCTGCTATAAACAACTATAAAAGCATTTTTATATTCTTAAATACATCCATGAACTGACAAAGAAAGCAAGAACTGTTCAGGTCATAGACTGAGAAAAAGAAAACGTATGGGATTAAAGAAGCTCATTAGCCAGCATTTGCCTTGAGGGCATTGTCTGAATCTGGAGAATTTGATTGTTGGTTTTCATTGTCTCTGGGCTTGAATTTAAAAAGGCAGAGCTCAGCACCTGTCCAAGGTGAGAAGTCCGATGAAATATGGCCTCTCAAAACTGGGTCCCCCAAAGACTATTCTCAATATAAGGTAAATTTGAAATTCATGCCCAGTTTAAGAGGGCTTCCAATAAAACTTGCCTAACTAGAACCCTCCTTATAGTGGAAGGGAAAAAAATATCTGCTGAGAATTTATGACCAAACACTGACTCTCAGTAAACTTGCATCCTGAATTCACAATATCTAGGTGGCCTGAAAGAAATCAAGTTGAAACTTAAAAATGTTCCTACATTAGAACACTGAAGCAATGTAAAGCCTTTCTGAGGGAGCCAAATTGACCCAAAACATTCCTAAAAATTAAGTTCAAACTAAAATGGTCAACTCACAGAGAAAAGTACTAAAACAACAAATAAGGCCTGAGAACCAACAGAAACAATGCAGAGTAAAGATTTGGAAAAAAGTTAGATATTAGAAGTATCAGAAACAGCACAATATATTTAACAGATTTCAAGAAATAAATTTGAGATATAAAATTAAACAGATTTCAGAAAGAACGAAAGACCTTGTAGGAAGAACTAGTGGGCTGAGAGAAAAATATAAATGGAATAGATAAGGTTCAATTGGGGCAAGACGACAATTCACTATACCATTATTTATCTGCCTCACAGCTTCAAAATGTTAAGTGACCCAGCTGGTTTTGTTCTATCCTATGAATGCTGAGTTCCAAACAACCATCTCACAAGTGTGATGACTTGCTCATAGTGGAGGCTAAATAAGACTATTTTAATATCAACATCAATTTATCTCTGTTACTGCGGAAATTCATTCTAAGCATATGCCTGAAGGTCATATGCGTCTACTAGATGTGCACACTAATAATGAGAGATGTGTGACTCAATTGTATTTCACTATTTATCCTGGCTACCCAGAAGCTCACAGTCAAATATGGTGCTCAATCGTAAAAGGATGTCATCCTCTTTGACTAGCATATTTGGGTCCTCACCTTTCCACTGTCCTTATTTCTTTTCTTTTTCATTTAAAACTCTCCACATTTTTTAAAAACACATGCGATATAAATTATGTTCTATCTTTAACTTGAAAATACTACAAATTTAACATAAGTCTCTGTTTTAAAATACAAAAACAAAAAACAAGGCTTACTGCTCAAATGCTTAATTTTTAAATCCTTCAAACTTAATATCAGCTTCAATTTTAAAAAGCATAAACAAGGTTGACCGCTCAGACATACTTTTCACTTACCTGCACTATTCTCTTCTGACATTACAGTGTGGCAGAGAGTAAGTAACCTAAGGAATTCATGAACTTTGGGATCACCCAGTTCAATGGATTCCAACAGACTGTGGTCAAAGAACTGAAATTCTCTAACCACTTGAGATTTGACTGAGAAATTCACAGGCTCTTTTTCCTATAGGAGAACAAGAATAAAAATAACCGTAAGCTTCAACCCAACAGATAAAAGATTAAAATATTTTAATTATTTTTTAAAATTCAAAAATAATTCACCCAAGTATTTTTAGCATATGATTTTGCAGTCTCAAACGTCTGGCACTAAAATGGCTGTTTCATCATTACTGGTAAATATAATCTTCTCATTTCAGAACCACGTACCAAAGAGGTGACCCTTCCAAAAGTGTATGAGAAAAAAATCCCAAAAGTATATGGGATGGCTGTACAGATCCTCAAATGCTCAATATAACTCCAAAAATACAAAAAAGCACAGAAAATGCAAAAATTTTTTTAAAATCTACTTGATGGCAAAACCTGATCTGACTTGAGTTCATTTGGGCAGAAATATCTGACCTGGAATGATATATATTTAACAATGACTTCTTAAAGCCTACTTAATACTTGTGAATTAATATTTTCTAATATAAAAACATCAATGTATTTGATTATGGGTACTTTCTCAGATGTCACTGGAGACACTGCATAATAAAATGGCAGCTACACCATACTGTCTTCCTACAACCAGAAAATTCTGGATTTCTAAATACACCTGGCTCTAAAATTTCAGGTAAGGGACTATAAGCCTGTATTTCAGGAGCAAGCCTACGGAAGGTTCTACCCTGAACACTTACATATAAGAGCTTTATCAGCTGCAGAGTCCACATGTCTTCCCCCAAGATTATTGCAAAAATTTTTATTCTTAAAGACTCCATTAATTTTTGCAATTGATTCTAAAGTTACAAGAGCAGATGGAATTATAACCTCTTTTTAAAAGAGAAACAATGGCCGTGGGCAATTGAAATTATCTATTCTGAGTCACAAAGCTTGTTAATACCTACAGTAAAATTGGAGCCTTTTTTTCTTGAAGCCAAATTTATTCTAAAATTAATAATATTGAATAAAAATAAGAAATATTTATTATCTTTAAAATAGGCCAGACATTATGCTAACAATTTTATATGGGATATTACGTATAATCTTCCTAACGGCGACATGTAGTGGATACTATTATTATCCCCATTTTATAGATGAGAATCTGAGCATTGCCAAAGCCAACCAAATACATCCATGAGCCAGGACTGAAACTTAGTCAAAAATCCATGCTTCAGATACTTTGCCATAACAACTCCTTAATATAATTCTTGCTTATTTCCCTGCCCTCTTATTAACACCTGCCACTTATCAAGTGATAATAGTATACTAGTTTCTTTTTAATTTAAGTACTTTTAATATTTTCAGTCAAAGCAATACATCCAGAGTTACAAAATCAAATACTACATTAAGGCTTATCTAGTAAAGCAAGAGACTTCATCCCCACACCTCCATTACCACAGCCCCAGTCCCACTCCCCAGAGAAAATTACTGTCAAACTTCAGAAGGCATATCAAATGGTTACCCCAAAAACTGTAAATTATGTACATATATCACCATTTCCAGATTTATAAATATTAGACCTTTTCCAAAATCAGATAAAGATTTAGGTTATTTACATCACTTCTCCACTTTCTTTTTCCCCTTCTAACAACATAGACATATCCAGTTTAATTTCCTTACTGGTTACTTCTGCAACTCTAAGTAACAAACAGAAGCCTGTTTTGTTTTGTTTCAGTTCATCAATTATCAACACTCCCTAACTTGCAAGATGAGGTTATTATCCACCCCTCACCTCCTCTTCACTTCTCCCTGCAATCTATCCTTTGTAATTTTTTTTCTATTTCACTATAGAGGTTTAAAGCATTTGTGTTCTTTTCTGTACCCAAACTTCAATCCTTTTTATTGGTCTAAAGATTGATTCCAAAAGTTGAAAATGAATAAATGGTACGTACACAAGTCTATCTCGGAACTATTGTTCACAGCAGAGGAAAACGTGCACTTTGTTATATGGGCTTTCGTGGTCTCACCCACTCAAGGCTAATTATTTGCCAGGTCTACAGCTCAATTGCATCCTGGGACTTCCTTTAATTACTCTCCTGGGCTGGAGTCACTGTTTCCTCACCCTTTGCCACCCACTTTGATTTCCTTGTTTTGTTGTAGCATATCTTAAACGTACTTCATAAGAAAAAGATCACAGGAGATAAAAGTTATGAGACTTTCTGCCTGAAAATGTCTTTATCCCACCCTCACACTTGTCTCATGGTTTGCCACAATATAGAATTTTAGGTTGAGAGCCATTTGAAAGGATCACTCCACTGTCCTCTGGCATCCAGTGTTGCTGATAAATCTGATGTTAGTCGGACTTCCATTTTTTGGTAAGTGGCCCACTTCTCTCTTCCAAAAGCTTTAAGTTCCTCTCTTTATCCTTTGAGTTTGTAATTTTAGAGGCACTGATCTTATTTTATTTATTGTTTCTGAGTATTCAGGAGACTCTTTCAATTGGAAGATTTGGGGAAGTTCTCTTCAGCTATATCTTTATAATTTTATCCTCTTCAATTTTTTTTCTGTTCTTTCATATCTAGAAAATAGTCTTAAATTTTGGATCTGCCAGTTGACCCTTTATTTTATCTTTATTCTCTGATGTTCTGACTCTTTCCTTTCATTCTACTTTCTGGGAGAGTCTCTTGACTTATCTTCCAACTCTTCTATTGAATATTTTGGTTTGTCATAATTTTTTTTTAATTTCCAGCAACGCTTTTATTTTTTTTTTCCTGACTGTGTTCTTTCCAGAGCATCTTGTTCTTGTATCATGGGTGTTATAACTTCCCAGATCTCTGTGCTGATGTTCAAGTTTTCCAATTTATAGTTTATAACTCTTGGTAGGTTCTGTTCTATTTTCTTATCTTAGGTCATATTGTTTACTGAATTTTGGTTTTTATCTGTCACATTTTACACACAGAAATGTTCTTAATGTACAATGACTTGTCATTAGCCAGGCATCTGTAACACTGAGACAGATTGAACTCTACAAAGGCAGGACTTAATGGCTGTCAGGTTTGACTTTAGGGTGAATGAGAGCAGAGGTGGTCCTTGTGATTTCAAGCCCGTAAGATCAAGGATGTAGATGACTTTCACTAGGGCACAAAAACCCTTGTTAGCGGCCCCAATTCTACCCAGAAAATATGTGCTACGTTTATACTGAAGACCTCTTTTGGGTGGGAGGAATTCAACAGATCTTCACACATTCAATTAACTCCCACAGGGCCAGGACTAGGTAAGACAAGAGACAGGTAGAGTTCACAATATATAAGGAAGCACTTTTAGTCCATCTTTTCATTTGTGCATTCAAAAAACATATATTGAGTACCCAGTATGTACCAAGAACTTTTCAAGGTGATAGGGATTCAGAAGTGAACAAAACAAACAAAAATCTCTAGCCTCATGGAGCTTAGATCATCTACAGTTTGACAGTTTTTAACCAAGTATTAAGATATTTGAAACACAAAATATGAGACTTTAACTCTTATGAAAAGACAAAAACACTAAAAAGAATATTTTAATACCAATTCCAGTACTGAACACACATATTGTCCAGAGTTTCAGGACATATCAGCCATTGATTGATTAATACACAATACAGTGTACTTTGAAATAGGCAGTGAACATTTATTCATCAAATATTTATCATGCACCTACCGTGGGCTAGGCAATGTTTCGAGTGCTTGGGATAGAATGGTAAACAAAATGCTATCCCTGCCCTCAATGAAGTCCAGTCTATTTTGGGAAGATACTGAACAACAGGCCATATATGGTAAGCACTATGATAAGGCAAGCACATTGGACTAGAGGGAAGGTAGAGAAGTGTCAAGGAAATATTCCCAAACAAGTAATATCTAAGCTGAAGCTAAAGAGATGATCAGGAGTTAGCCAGATAAAAAGGCAGGCAAAGATTGTTTTAAGCGGAGGGTATAATTTGCAAAGGCCTATGTGGCAGTTAGGTATATAGTTTACAGGCTGTATAGAACTACCACAAAATAGAAACTATAAAGCAACCAGCTAACAGTTTCATGATAGGGTGAAAACCACCCATATCAATATTAACCTTGTGTGCAAATAGTCTACACACCCCACTTAAAAGGCACACAGAAGCAAATTGGATAAAATAAGAAACACATATCACATGTAACAACACCCATAGGCTCAAAGTAAAGAGTTGGAGAAAGTTCTGTCACACCAATAGAAAATAGAAAAGACCAAGGGTCACTACTGTTATATCAGATAAAACACACTGCAAACTAGTAACAGTAAAAACAAACAAACAAAGAAGGGAATTACCTAATGACAAAGGATACAATTCAACAAAAAGACTTAACTATCCAAAGTATGTATGCACTCTATATTTGAGCACCCATATTCATAAAACAAGTACTTCTAGACCTACGAAAAGACCTAGCCACACAATAATAGAGGGAGACTCGAACATGCCACTGACAGCATTAGACAGATCATCAAGGCAGAAAAATAACAAATTCTGCACTTCAATTCAATACTTGATCAACTGGACCTAATACTCTACCCATTAACCACAGAATATACATACTTCTCTTCTGCACATGGAACATACTCCAAAATCAACCACATTCTCACCCATAAAGCAAATCTCAAAATTCAAAAAAATCAAAATTATATGAACCTTATTCTCAGACTAAAGTAAAACAAAAATAGAAATCAATACCAAGAAGATCTCGGAAAATCACACAATTACACGTAAATTAAACAACTTGCTCCTGAGTGACTTTTGGGTAAACAACGAAATTAAGGCAGAAGTCAAAAAATTATTTGAAGTAAATGAAAACAGAGACACAACATATCAAAATCTCTGGGATGAGGCAGAAACAGTATTAAGGGGAAAGTTTATAGTGCTAAACACCTTCCTTAAAAAGTTAGAAAGATATCAATTAATGATACAACACATACCTACCAAAAAAAAAAAAAAAAAAAAAAAAAAAAAAAAAAAAAAAAAAAAAAAAAAAAAAAAAAAAAAAAAGAAAAAAGAAAAAACTAACCCCAAAGCTAACAAATATC